ATTTCAAAACAAAATTTTTTTTTTTTCAGTGTGAATCAGATACCAAATATTGGCAGTATTTGTGCAATAAATCCTATAGAGAACTAAGTTTCAACAATTTCCTAACAGATCTGCTTTTCTTTTACTAATTAAACAAAAGTATCAGAAATAAAACTGACACATACTTCATTATCTCGATCCTTCTCCAGGAAGTGACGGGCAACATGGCTGGGTAAAATATTCCGTAGCATGTTTTCATTGTGCTCCCTCAGCTCCTTCATTTCATTGATTTCTTCTTTTGCTTGTACACGCCACAGAAAATCCAGCCTTGCTGTGTATTCAAGCTGTAGTTCCAGAAAGAAAAAAGAGACAAATATAAAGTAGAGATTGTATTGTCATCTCGGTAGGCTACTTGTGCTTCAAGCTTCAGTGCTGCTGAAGATCTTTGAAAGCATTTGATTTATTTGCCAGAAAAAGAGATTATTTCTTTGCCCTATGTACAGTGAGAGTCACAGAATAATCTTGGGTAAAATAATAATTGTCATATTACCGCTATGATCAGTGGATAGAAAATGTCACAAAATTATTTTCCTTTTAAACACCTCTTTATTATTTAGATAATGGAGTCAGATAGGAGTTAAGGTATTGGCAGATATTGGTATTGATATGAAATAAATATGTTCCTGTTTTCATATATGTTTTCAAATTAAATGAGTTTCATGACAAAATAGGACAAGGGTAATTCTAAACAATTGGTAGAGATGTCCTTCTCAAGGATAAGTATCTTTCAGCAAAGCTATGTATAACAGCCCAATGTACTTCCAAAGAGAACTTTCAAATCTTTGGCACCAAAATGACATAGTTTTACTGTCGGGAAACGCAGTTATTTTCAACTTAAGTCTTCTAAAAAATAGTGGAAAACATGCTATTTGTCACCCCCTCAAATACTCTGTGCCTGATGTACTGTGGGACCAGAGCCTGCAATCACAGTTTAGTACATGCACAGTGGCAGTGCCTGATACCTTGCTACAAATTGGAGTTAAATGGTTTTCAGTGCTGTGTGTATGCAGAACAAGAGCTGTGCACAGCAGAGCTTATATATGCATACATATATATGCATTGTTTAGTTATATATATGTATATAGGTGCATATTCATATATATATGAATGGCAACTGTCTGCTAGCTGAAGCAGGGAATGTGTCAAAACATCATGTTGCTTGCCTGAGAGGCACATGTGTGTCAACACATGAACAAGACCAACACTGCCAGAACTCTTGTGCTTCACACTGAAGAAGAGTTTTAAGCAGATTTTAAGGCAACTGACTCTGTAGCTTGTACAAGAGGTGACTTATTAAGCTACAGCATTGTAGAAAATGATGGAAATATTTCTACAGTCAGTAAACTGAAAGAGAAAATATATTTGTGAAGTTTGACGTGCCCTAATACTAATAATACCCATCATAGAAACATATTATGCCAGCAAATAGATGAATTTTTACAATTTTGAGGGACATCAAGTGATTTGTCAAGAGATGCTGGGATTAAGGAATTTTTTGGGATATAATTCATGTACCAAACTGAAATAAAGGACAAACCTGCAGTGTGTGGGAGTGACTAAGAGAGGGTTCAGGCATTGTTTAGTGACTCATCTTGGTCACATTTTTAAGTCAGCAGCAGTGATGAATGGCAAACTCTTCAGAAGAAAATGCAAAGCACCTTGCAAGGGAGCTTATAGGTTGACTGTACTCCAGGGAACTTTCTTTCCTAAAAGCTAAAAGTGACAGTGGCTGAAAGCTAAAAGTGACAGCTAAAAGTTCCAAAGCCTGTATGCAACTTGGCAGTGATTTACTTGCCTCTGGGTGCTGTTAATACCCTTATAAACAGTCTCTTTTCTACTACTATGTTGATCTTCTATCTTGGGACCATTAATTCTCTTTATTAATGGCACAAAAAAAACCAGTCAGGAAAAAGTACCTTCAATATTTTTCAGTTTCCTTCCCCCTTCCTTTTGTACTAGAACACAGAGCTCATAGCAGATAACTGACTTTTATCTCTACCAACTAACTGAGAAGGAAACGTTGACTAATTTTGCAAATTCTAAAGGTATTTTACAGATTGACTTGAAACAGGAGCTGCTGATGGATTCTGAGTACTTTGATGCTTCAAGATATTTAATGCTACTACAATAAGAGCTTTGCAAAAAATGGTGGTACAGTTTTTCACAGCTGCTCTACAGGGACATGTCACATCTCTAAGCCTAGCTCAGAATAGCTAATCTTTACATTTTAGATAATGTCATTCTGCTTATTTATGATCACATTGTAACATGAAATACTTTTCTTGCATCATCAGTGGACTACCAAGATGACACTGTCAGCTCAGAGATAAAGGTGTGCTACATATAAGGTTTAAAAATAGAAAATGTGAAGAAGATACTTTACTAAGTTCTTATATTTGCTAAGACTAACAAAATTATAGGGTTGAGTTTTGGGCTTCTTGTTTGACTGTCTGAAGAAATATTCCTGGGCATACTGGTGCCAATAAAAATGACTGCAACTTAAATCTCAAAATGTGTTTTCTTGCTCTATGAAACACCCCTAATTCCAATTGTGAGTGAAGAAAAAAGAAATGTATTACACAGGAAGCCTAATACTATGTCCACCACATGCTTCACAACCCACCCACTCCGCAAACTATTGCTACAGGCAAGGAAAGCACAAGTTAAGAATCAGAGTTTGAGTGGCAGCACATTCTTCTTTAGAGGAGGAGAAAAGAGAATTTACATCCCAAAGGGACACTCTCAATGACCAAAAAAAATTTAACTCCGGATAAAACAAGCAAATATCCATTCTGAATTAGTATAGCAAAGATAATGAAATAGAAGTCTGAATATGGAAAAGGTAATGAAAAATCTGAAGCATAATGCCAGAATTAGGAATGTCTTCCTCTTTTTTCATCTGGAGCAATTTCCTCTTCACATTTCCTCATTCCACCTCTTTTTCACAAGGATGAAGGAGGTTTAGAGGGTCATGCTTGTTTCAGATAAATTGCTGTGCAGAGAAGTCAGTCCTTCCTCCCTTCCACAAGGGTCTACAGAGTTAAGATACAGCCCTGGCATCCAGTGTTTATTGGGTACAGAGCTGTCTGTGCCTACCCTGGCAAAGTTCATGTCTCTGTACCAAAGAGCCCCAGAAATGGGAGCAAACCAGTCAGTCAGTCAGTCAACACTTGCCTACACCAGAACACTCAGCTGGTGTAGGCAAGATCTATGCTCAGATCTACAATCTAAAAGAAACCAGAGAGGATTTTACCCTCTCTTTCAAAAGGCCTTTTTTTAAATTCTGACTGGGGTGGAAGGAGAGGAAGGACTGAGTCTTCTGTGGGTAGTTTTATTCTCTCTTTCCAATTGTTAAAACCTCCTCTTTTAAAAGCTATGGCAGAAAGTTTTGCTCAGGGTTAAACTTTTTGTATTGCATGTTTTCACTAGGGGTGAAATTCTAGTAGAGAAGACTGGTATTGTAGTATGATAAGATTTCAAGGCATAGTTTATGTTCCCACAAAATATTCTACTTGAACTCATTAAAAAGACAAAGCAGTAAATGAACACATTTTACAGCAGATTAGGCCTAGCCTTAAAATTATCCACAACACTTCTTCTGTGTGTTTTTTCTCAAATTTAGTTTTCAGAAGCACTGCTGTAAATTATGCATTACTTGTGTTAAAAAAAGATGTACTTCCAGATGAAACTGAATTTCTAATAGGGAATTAGCCTATAATGGTGTCTAACAGTAACACAAATACTTTTAATTATTAAAATTATTCTTAAAATCCAGATCAGATTTTAAGAAAGCTCAAATAAGCTACTATCACACACGTTTTTCTCTAATTTAATTTTCAATTTTGGGTGCAAAAGTTGGGATAAACTTTAAATCACAATGGATAAAAAACAATAGGTAGTTATTTAGAAATTGAATGTCCATAAATTTAATCTTACAAAAAGGATCTTTTTTGGTAAATCCACCTAGAATGAGCCAAGTTTTAAACTATTCTACTTCAGAATACTTTCGCAGTTTGTGAGATGCAAAGCTGTGATGGAGCACAGCTTTATTAGGCTTACTGTGCTCCTCAATTCACTCTATTGAAGTGTTGAGGTTTTTTTTGTGTTCTGGAAGTAATTTTTATACATGCATTTAATTGGCAACTATACAGAGACCTTTAGTTTGACTCTGTAATAAGAAATTTAACAGTACAAGGAAATTTTCCTGGGCACTGATGTTGGATACTGTTAAATTGATAGAGTGGCCTTATGAATGGTTTGGGAGAACATGAAGGAATTAGCACATCTCAGGGACTATTTCCAAGGGCAGTTTTAGTGCAGCCATCCTGTTTTATGGAACAAGAAAGATTAATAGAATGGAAAAGAACCTGTGCTCTGCTAACAGGCCTCTAGGCTGGAAAACACTCTAAAACACCCCAGATCAGGCTTTTGTAGAAGACAGATGTTTACACCCCTAGTTGTGATCCTGAAGAGTATTGCCTGGATTCTGCCTCATTCTTTCTCTACCTAAACTCCTCTGGTGGTGCCTTTCTTGGTACATAAGCTGATTCCCAAGCCTGAGATTTGTATCTTGGCATATGGTAAGAATCACTGTGAATATTATAGGGCTTATCACAAATTTGGGATGTTCAGTTCTAATTTTCTCCATATTTTTCCCAAGTGGACTTTACATCTTGTTTAAGAAATGTCACAGTACATTGCTTTCTGTCAAACTTAAATCTGGGCACGAAAAGCATTTAATCCCTTGCTTCTGCTACCCACTCATTCCTCATTTCCTCAAAAAGAAGATTAAAAAGGAGGGAAATTACTAGAATATTTAGGTGTTGCCTTCTTTTTGTTCTCCTGTGGAAGAAATGGAGGCCATAAGTCCTGGCACAACTTACAAAGTTGTAATAAAGCTTATAATACTGTCTTATTCATCACAGAATTATTCCTTTCTTACTACCTCACTCCAGGAGGATTGAGAAATGTTGGTATTAATCAGCCTAATGCTCTTGAGGGGAAAATCTTTAGGCAAGTTGGACAATGTCTAAAAGTTTGCTGCTTGCTTTAATACAATGATCCTGTTTGCTTTATGTGAACAGAAACTGCCTCAAGTCAGCACATTTGACATTCAGCAGCCCAGAGCTTGAGAGCCAGAAATGCTGTGAAGAAAACACTCTGCTTTAGCTGGTTTTTACTCAATGCATTTTTTATTTTAAATCTAAATTTTTCATAATTCACTCTCCCTGTGCACTGTGTATGGATTCCTGATATACCCAGTTTTTCAGTTCCTCTTCAAGGATATCAGTCCTAAAGGACCAACATCCCCAAATACTGATTATAGTCTAGGTGCATATGAAAGGATTCTTGCAAGTGGTCCATGACACGAAGTAGTTAGTATCGGTGCTTAACTCAAATTTTATTTATTTCCTCAAGTCTGTTGCTTTTTCTTTATAAACATACTAAGCTATTTCACAGGAGTTTTATTATTTACTGTTTATTAATCCCTTTCTATATTCTGGTTTTATGCTTACTCAAGTGCACTGAAACTGTCAGGTGCCTCCAGAATTACACATGTCTAAAATAAATGACGTCCTATTTCTTCCTTCAGTTTCTATTATGAAATGCAATATAACTTGTGTATTGTTGAATATAATATTGCACATGTTCTTTAAAACTGGTAGGCAGTGTCAGATGTGGTCTTTCTTTAATCAGATCCTGCATATGGTTTATTAAATTGTGAAAGGTCATCTGCTCAAGTGGATAAAAAGGCAGTTGGTATTTTGAAAGTAATTATTGTCACATCCTGTAATTGCAAGGGCTAGAGAGAATGGTTAAAGCAAATGTTTGCATTACCTGTTGACCATGATAGAATACAGCTAAAAGGAACATTGCCATCAGGAGTAAAGACGCCTCTTTTGTACCCAGGAAGTCTGTGCTGGAAAAAAAAAAATCCAAAGTAAAATACAGTTATTGATTTGTCAGTGCTGTAATTGTTCAGAATTTTCATTTCATAAGTCACTATGATAATTTTGTTGTTCTTTAAAAAAATCCCCTGTATTTGAAAATTTAATTTAGCTGTAAAGAGAGAACAGGAGCGTAACTGGAGTGCTCGCTGTTTGGAGACACATGCCTTAAATAACTAAACTGTAGCCTACAGGAGGTACACAGAAGGTGATGAGCTTTCTCTTTCAAACGTGATGTGCAAGCTGTGTGTCAGTCACTCTCTCCCTGGGAGCCATGAACACCACAGCCCCTGTGGAGTGCAGGAGGTAGGATCTTGGCAGGGAAAGGTTGAGGCTGGAGCTGGGAAAGGGAAACTTCCAGATTGTGAAAGTAAAAGCCCAGGAAATGAGCCTAGAGATAAAAGATGAACCCCAAGGCAGGAGATGGAATTTAACATTGTGAGAAAGATGACAGGAAGGAAGTGTGGCTTAAAAGGGAATCAAAATATTTGGAAACAGTAGTTAGGACTGGTTTTACTGAGCCACAAAGAGGAGAGCAGAGAAGAGCTGTCTGCCTGTGACAGGGGAAGTAAAGGAAACCTTTGCAGACTGTGGGGAAGCAAAGAAGATGTGCCAGGAAGGTACTGGCTGTATGAAATCTGTATGAAGTCGCTTAGGTGCTCTGTGTGGAGCATGAAGAAAGTGTGACAAAATAAGGTGAAAGAGGCGAAAGGGGTTCAAAGCTTCAGGGGCTTCCAAATAAATATGGAGAGAAATTACAGATTAAAAAAATGAAGAAAATATCTCTGTATGTAATTTTTTTTTTAAAAAGCATGTTTCCCATGGGAAGAAATATAAATGAAGAGAATTGGAAAATGGTAGAGCCAACCTTATAGTAAAAATAAGGATAAAGAAAGAAATTTGGAGGAAAATTGAACATGGATACTTGGCAATTACTTTGTTGAAGAGAGTTGAGAAAAAATGAGGAAATTGTTAAGAAGTGCTTAAAGCCCAAATATTTGAAAAAAGTTAATAAATAAGTAAATGAGAACCAGAAGTTGGAAGACACTTTGGGACAGTCTTTAGTCTACCTTGAGATTTAAGAACAAAGCAAAGTCCAGACACTGAATCCATTTTCCATAGTAATTTTGAAAAAAAGTATCAGGTGATGTTTGTCAGAGAAGGACTCCTATGACAGAGAAATAAAAGAGAGAAAGAGCAGAACTTGATGAAGACTAAACCAAAAGGAAACTTTCTTGTTAGAGACCTAACTGAACTGACTTTGTGGTCCTAATGAAGTATTTGCTGTAAGGAAATGTGCTGCTATGGGATGAGTCATCAGTATAGAGCAAAAGACAAGCAGGAAACATCCTTGTCATCTGCAAATATGTTGGAATTCAAATGTTTCCCATTTTTAAGTTGCCTGAAATACAACCTCAAAAAGAATACATTCCAAAAAGACCCCTTGTACACTGGCTAAAGGCAACAACCTTAAAGGTCTTAGTTATGAACTCCCCTGTTATGGCATGTTGTGGTGATGTAGCTTTAGCCACAACAGATAAATGAGTTTTGGAGGGAGTTGCAATCCCCTTTATTCAACTGATTGGTATAGATTAAAAAAAAAAAAAAGTTTCTGGGCACACAGCCTTGAACCTCATGCTCCCTAATGTCAGAGCTGAAGTTCACATCCTTGACTTGAGAGTGGAGCATCTCAGCTGATTTCCCTGTACCCTGGGCTGTTGGCTACTCCAGTGGATATTCCTGTCTCTTTCTTACTCTTCTATGTTGACAGTCACTGGAGAGTTTCACTGACACAGAGAATAGAGACTACTCTGAATTCCCCTAGATTTTCACACAGAAATGTGTTCCTAATTAAGGACAATTGTCATGATTTCTACTTCTAGTAACTTAGCCAAAATATTGCTCGTTGCCATTTGTCATAATTAGCTGGGGTCTACTGTGAATATGTAATATATCTGTAGGAGGATAACTAGCATTAGAAAAAGGAACTGCAACACCAAATTTTTAGTACCTCACTACTGTCAGAAGCTAGTAGGGAAAGATATGCATGCAGAGCCTTACTCTGTGTAAAGATGTGGCTGTTGTGAGAACTAATTGCACCACAAATCCATGCTTTTCTGCTGTTCTGAGGATCTTCGTCTGGCACGCATTTACAAGCACAAGCAACTGCAATACTAAATTGGTCAAGTATCAAAGACTGAAGTGTCTCTCTGAATGAGCTAAATCAGTGTTGCTCTAGATTCAGTTATTGCAACACTTATTGCACCTCTAACTCTGCAAATTATTGTGTCTCTTCTGTTCTCCTCTTCAACTCCTCTTGCTGGGAAGGAAACCTGAGAGGAGAAGTCTGTCCTTCGAACACTCTCCTACAAAACAGTATCATCCCTGTATTCCTTATATCTTTCACAACTGCACATTATAGATTGGATTTTATTCAATTAAAACTCTGCCCCCCAAAAAATCAATTGTTCACTTCAGTTTGTTTAAATTGAAGTGAAAGTTTTTATCAGTATCTCTGGAGCTTTCAAGAGTAGAAGCAACCAATGTGTATGCACTGCAATATGTATTTTTAATCAGCATTGATAGACTATAGGAGACATAAAAGACAAACCCGGTTCAATATTTAAATGTCCTCATGAAATGAACATTTTAATAAAAAGACTTGAAAAAGAATCACATTATAAATCATTTTGAATTAGTCATTTCCTCTTGTGACCATCACTCGATATTTAATATGGGGCTACCCAGTACACATATACTCTGGCAAGACTTGACCCATTGCCTTGTGAAAAAGCAGTTCCTAAAGGGAGCTGTGAACACTTACTCTCCATTGTGGTTAAAGTTGTCATATTGCAGAAAAAGGGAGGCATAAATGGTCTCAGTCAGCAGAGAATAGATCGCAATCATGATGAGAAGCACTGCCAGCTTCAGGACAGAGTTGAGACGGAGAAAGACTGCACAAGTCACCATTGCCAGCACACCAGTGAAGACAAAATACTGAACAGAAAACAACACTGTTTACTTTTGGTGATCAGTGACTATATATTTTCATAAGTATCTACATAAATAATTAAGTGTTATGAAGTATAGAAAAATTACTTTGTATTTCATTGCTCAGCTAGGTACTCTCAGGATCCAGGGCACTTTGAAAATAAGGGTTTTGCTAAAATAGAATGTGAAATTACAAATTCTCTATTTTGCATGGCACCTCCATGTCAACAGAAATCCTTCTCTGTGCCTTTATGGCATTTTCATTTCATTATGGGGGAAATGGCATTCTCCATAATTAAAAGAGGAAAAGGACAGATGCTGCATGCAGTAGTTTCCTAATGAAAAGTCAACAGAGAGAAAGAAATTTATATTCCTCTGTATTCTGACTGTATTCTGAACTTCCACAAGACGCACATTAATCAGGATGGGAGAATGATATTCCCGCTTTAATTCTTTTCCCATGCTTCCTGAAGAGTACAAAAAACCACAGATTTCAGTGGGGTTTTTTTGGTTTGTTTTTGTGGGTGTTTTTTGTTTTTTTTTTTTTTTTTTTTTTTTTTAATATTAAACATTGTATGTTTAGCTTGGTTATTTTACTCTCTTAAAATGCCTGGAAGTTTTGCTCATATCTCATTTTCTAATCTCTTAATTGTCTCATTCTTTCTCAATGATTAGTCATCTGTCAAATGCAATCCATGCAGCTGATACTGGATAAAGAGAGACAATCATGGTCATGAGCTGTTCAGATTTAAAATAGCAACATCACCACCCACAGCCCAAATGTAGTTTAAATTACCTCCTATCACACAGCTTTAGGAGAGATAGTATTCATTTTTCTGAGTACAGTTTTTCTTTAGTACAGTTCCTCTGTAGGAAAGTCTGCATCCCTGCTGTTTAGAGCATACTGCTGGCAGTATCATGACACTGCCATATGACTTTCTAAGTAACATACTTATCTACACATGACTAATCCATTCATTTTGTTGCCTGCTTGCTCATCTTAGAGATGATTACTTTTTTTTTGCTCCTAAAGCAAACTTAAATAACCACAGCAGACTGACTGTTGGTTTTACCATGTAAGAAATGTTACTCTCCATTAGATTCTTACAACTTTGGTACTGTGTTTTATTGCAATTGAATTGCTGAATGTGTTTCCAGCATAAAGGTTCTGTTTGAAGTTCAAAGGTTGAATCTTGGTTGTAATACCCCATTAGATCATAAGATTAACTCCTTCTGTAACCAGCCTCTGCTTTTGCTATTAGCATATGGATAGATGGAAATGTTCAGCTTCAGAGTGTTGAGGCCCCTGACTCCACCAGCAGTACCCATCATCCATTCCAGATAATGGTTGCCATATAACCTTTGTGGATCCATGCCTCAAATTCAAAGGCACGCTCAGAAATACCTCAGGACAGGAACAGATGTCCGTAAAAGAAGCAGATGAATTGAAAGTCTGGTTCTTCAGGGCTATTGGTTTGTCAAAATCACACCATAGCTGTGAAGAAATAAAACAAAATCAGGTCTATAACGTGCACTGGAGACTAATTGCTTGTGTGGCTGGCGGGGTTCAGGGATGGAACTGGCTGACCTGCTGCTCTTCATGCCAGCTCCCTGACTGGCACCAAGGACTGACTAAATGGACAATAAGACATACTGTGGCAGTGAAATGGAGAGGGGGGAGCTATTCATGCTACAGACATTTAGTATCTGAACAGCATCCCTATGCTCTCTTGCAAAGTGGAAAGATAAGCTCCACTGGGAGTTTCAGAGAACTGATGTTGGACTCTTAAAAATTACTCTCTCAAAATACTTAGACTTTACCATAAACTACGGTGAAATTATTTAATTGGGAGCATAAAATCAAATTGCATGAGTGCCCTTGTCTGCAAGCAGTTTTCTTCTGCTACATTGCTGTGTTATCCTTCTGGATGTGGGACATCTATCCTTCATTTCTATGGCATGATGCAGAATTGGTTGTACCAAAACGTAATGTGATCCCAGAACAGCAACTGAGATGCTTAGAATGGAAGGGAATGAAATCATTCATGATTCAATGGTTTGATAATACAATACTGCCTTTTGCTGTTATGACCTACATTCATTTTAATGGTACTTCCAACACAGTGTGTTAAACATAAACAAAATATCAGTGTTGATCTGCAATGCAGAACAGTCTTAAAACATAGGAAAAAAATCATTAATCGTGTCATATTTTGACTGTTAAAGCAGATGGAGTCTCCTATTACATATATTAATCCAATCTGTATGTTTATACTAGGTCATTTCATCAACCTGGTATGTACAAGCTAGTTCACTGGTCTTTTTTTTCCAACACAACTAGGGAATTTGTTTAATGAGGGTCAATTTCTTATAATTAAATTCTAACTAATTTTGAACTTGGAACTATTTTGTTTGTTCTTTCAGCAGTTCAGTCACCTCTGCAATACAGTATTATTATTATCTAGGCTGGCTGTGCAATCTTCCATGACACTGGATAGCTAATGGTACCTTCTGACAGTTTATGAAGTGTACAGCACCTCTCTGCAGGGCAGAGTGTTGTCAGAACCACTACAGGTGTTTTTTTAAAAACCTTTCTTGGTCAGAAACTTTATTTTAATTTTATAACAATAAGAATGCACTTGATGTAAAGAACTGCAAGACTCATTGCTTCCCTGGTAAAACTGAAGCCTTATGGCTCCCGTAAGAAAGCTTCTGCAGTTGAATTCAGTGGACATAGGTAGCTACAAGGCTGAGGTGCATTACCTGTTCTTGAATACATGCATGTCCCTCCAGAAAAAAAGACATTATTATAGCAGAATTTTGACTTATTAAACTAATGAGGTTATAAGAATGTTGTGATTTCCTGTGGAGGTCAGGACTCAGTGGCTCAAGTCATTGATGGTCTAAATATATGACAATAAATGTAACTGTTTACTGCTTTATAGAAACCCACTGGTATGGCAGTAAAAACTATTACTTTTATTTTGACTGTTTTTGGGCTAGGCATCCCAGAAGATTGCACAATCTTAAAAAAAAAAAAACACAAATCAAGGGAAAATCTTGTTATCATGTATCCATAGCATATTGTGCACGAATAGTCTGTTAGAGATCACCTTGTTTCAACAGTAAGATTAATTCTACCAAAATCTTTCCTGGAAAATATGTGTTAAAATATGATTTAAAAACCTCTAAATTCTATAACATTCCTTAGTGATCTTTACTGTAATGTACCACCGGTCCTGTCTATAGGAAGTTTTCAACCCCACTGAACTTCCTGTCTTTACCGTATTTATATTTTCTCTGTAAGGACAGAAATCAGTGGCTGCATTCTTCTCTCTCTGACTAACTCTCCTATCAGTGACTGCATGGCATCACTATAGAACACAGGCAGCTACTGAGTCCTCACATATTGACCACCTGAATTAAATTGTGGAAAAATGACAACACTAGAGCATAATAAAATCTCATGTCTGTTAGCAAAAGCCAAGGCAAACCTCTGAAATATCAGACCTCAGCATACTTACTCCACTGATGTAATAATAATTATTTTTAATTGTGTTAGGATAATTATTGTTGCTGTTGTGTTGTCCGAGTTGCTACTGTTATTACTGTCACTAAATGCATTCCTGGTCTCATTTAGAAGGAGTGAAATATTTATAAAGAATAACGTACAGATGAAAAAGCACTGCTACATCCATAACCAGAAGATGCCCAACAAGAGGAAAGAGTGATGAAAATGTTGCTTTTAATCTATCAGTGAGACATTTAGGACATTCTTGGCTCAGATATCAGCACCTGTCAGGTTGTCTGACATTATAATTTGCCTAATTCTCTTGTTACTGAATACATCAGGATAATCAGGATTCTATTGGAGTTTTTTAAATTATTATTTTAGTAATTCTTTTAATTTTTCTTTTAGTAATCTAATTAATGGGAGAACTCTGAGATAATCTGAAAACTTCTGAGAAGAGGAATTTAATAACCATAAGCATTACTTGACAGTCTTTAAAAAGTATAACAGAATGCCAGAAAATTGCAAATGCTTCACAAGGGTGGATAGAAAGTAGAAAAAAGGTTTTAAAAATAGATGATCCTCAGTAGGGAGAAATAATTAAATATTTCAGAAATACATAGGTTAGACAATGGACTGAATTTCCTGAAGCTGTGATACTTTGCCATTTTTTTTATTATCTAAATCATAGCTGGCTTATAGACACATTAGTTAACAAGTCCTGTAGCAAGCTTAATAATTCATAAAGCATCTTTTCCTGTATAATATTCCTTGATTCCCTGTAAGCTTACAATATTGATGATGGCTCCAAGAAAATTAATCAGAATGGATGCAAATATAATGACATTCCTTGCCAGGTAGGTCTCATTAATCCAGCAGCAAGTTTTCCGGAGCATTAAGGGTAAACATTTGTAATCCTCTGCTGTAGTGATCAGCACAAGAGCGGAGTGCAGCATAATCAGAATAGAAAACTGAATGACCATGGGTATCACCCTAGAAAAAAAAAAAAGAATCCAGCGTTAAACCTCAACACAGTGCTACTGCTAATAAAAATAAATGTGTAAACAGGTAAGATTAGGAAATATCGGTTGTCATAAATCTGAGACAATTAGTCTCAGTAAAAAACCCAGAGAGAACAAACTTTTGTTCATGTTGCCTTTACTTCACATGGTTTCTTGCTGAGAAACTGTTGTTGGACAAACAAGCCAGGGAAATAAATCATTGCCAGTGCCTATATGTGTCTATGTAGAGTCCAAATGTCAGGAATGTTCTTTCTTTTGGTACACAGTTGTCTTAAGTTTTTTTCAGAGCAGTTCTATTGAGCCTGTAGGATTCTGATGCTGTGTTTGTATGATCCGGTTCCACTCAGACTAGTTTGGGGGTAGTTTAGTGGAGGATTGTTTTCTATGCATCACATCACAGGTCTCTTAAACTCATACTGTACTGAGGGTCATATTCTCTAAAGTGAGTACAGTAATGCACCTGTTTTCTGGAGTAAGTCAGAATACAATAATTACAGAAGTGAAAGATTCCTCTAATTTTAATTAATAATGGGTCAACTGCAGATAAGAATCTCATTGGTTTCCAAAAAAAGCAAAAGAACTCATCTACTGTTTTCATGGTAGCCTTTCAAAGTATAAAGCATATGAAAAAGTATTCTATAATCAAAGTGTTTAAATAAACCCCATTGTTTGGCATACCTTATAAACTTTGTTCTTGTAAATGTGATCTTTAATCAAGTATTGATAAGTGCATATGCAAAATAGTTCAATGACTTTGAAAGTACCATTAAACCCAATAATATCTTCCAGCCTAATTTTCATTTTATTTTTTCTAAATTTATTCCTTTTTCTTGCATAAATATGGGACCTGAAGTCAATCAAGTATCCTATGTGGTTGGAAAATGCAGTAAATTGTTTTACTTCACTGAGTAGAAAGCACTCAGCACTTCACAAGTTTCTATGTCCCATTTGTGCCAATCACTGTCTTTCTTTGTCTGTTTTCCCAAAGATCAAATCCATGCAAAATAAAAGTAACTCCACTGCTCCTACAAACCTCTACCCTCCTCACTCCACTTTTCTTGGTATTTTTGCTATAAGGAGAATGATTAACCTTGAGGTTTTGAATTAAGTAATTAAAATTTCTACTAACCTAATTGTGTATGTGCCAGTACTCTACAGTGATTTAATCACAATGTCTCACTGAAAAAAAGTCTTAGAAAGTGGACGATCAGGGTGCTCCAGAGAGACTTCTGCACTTCCAGGCTGTAGGTAAGCTGTACTCTCTCATTAATACTTCTGTAAACATGTTTTGTCTTACTGAAAACATGAAGTTTTAGATTTTTCTACAGATCACCTATCCCTCTTCTCTTTGGGTAGGGTGTAAAGCTATTTGTATACTTGTGCCCTACAGTAAGACAAATTTAGGAGTATAAAGTGGAAATAGAAGTGAAAACATCAGCACAGCTCTTTTGTCATTTTTCAGTAGGTCAGTCAGTCCACTTCCCAAAACTGAACAGACTTTATCTCAAACTACCTGAAACTCTCCTCAATTTCAGGACATTCGAATTTGGGGTTAGAAGAGAAAATTCTAAACTCATACAGATCAGAATTCAGATCTGTGGTTTGAGCCTTTTAACTTCAGCTTTCACTCTATAAAGTTTCACCAGAGTGTAATAGTTTCATGGCCAAGGAGAAAAGGAAACCAAACTGATTTAATGGCAGGAGAGGATACATGGATATAGCAGGACAAGTTTGAGAATAAATCTGTGTTGGAACTGGCATTTCTTAGCTCTGGCCATGTTTGCAACTAATGATTAGAGTCTAAAATATTTGCACTAAGGAGACACCAAAGTTGCACTGGGTATTTTATGTGAAAACTGTGATTACATCTTCCTCACAGTACTGATGTTAGTGGAAAATAACTTGAGAAAACAGGCAAAATTAAAATTTTTATATTCAAAAGCAACTTTTTTTTTTTTTAAAAAAGGTAGGCATAAGTGAGTGCATATGTGGAGAAATGTGGGTCATGTTGGGAGAAAAATAACATAGGAGGCATATTTGTCAAACTGAGATTTAAGTGCAGAACTGTACTCCTGTATATGTTAGCCTGCTTAATTTTGAACATTAACTTTAAAAGAATGTTCTGATTTTTAATGTCCTAATTCAGCTGTTATTATAGAAATTCAGGTACATTTAATCTGTTGGTTTTAAAGACAATATTTGCTTAAAAATTATTCCTTTCTAGTAATCCAAACAGACAATGCCTCCTTTAAAGTATCAGGGTGGAAAAATATGCAATTTGCTTCAAATGTTTTTGTCTATCACCTACTAAAATTAATCAAGCTAACACAAAACTATGATCAAAGTATAAAACAAAATGCAAGACTCAAAATAATTTACAGTAATGCAGCTATGGTTTATATGTGCATCTACTCTCAGAACTTCAGAATAAATGAGATTTGTAATGTAAGAGTCCAGAAAAGAAAATGCGTTAAAAAGATAACAGACAGAAAACAAGTCTATTGCTAACAGAGAGTTTTTCATTTGGAAAATGTCTGAATCTCCATAAGTAAGATATATATGCATAAAATTATATTTTTTCATAGTACTAAACTATATTTTAAGCATATTGAAATAAAATGTGAAAATATCAATATGGAACTGCTGTTCTCAGATTAATTGAAATTAGATGAATTACACATTAACTTCCATTGAGAGCTTCCATGTGGTAATATTAGCTTTGACGCTGTTCTGATGATGTACCATTGGCATGAAAAGTTTTCTTCACTTGGGTCAGCATTTCACTCCAACAAGATTTGTCAAAGTTTTATGTGTGAGTTGAATACAGGACACTCGAGATGCTCCCTAAAATGTCCCATGCTCTCCAGCAGCTTACCCAGAAGTAAAGTTTACTTTTGAGAGAAGGGACAACATATGCAGCAAAACCAAACTGTATTATAAAAGAAAGAGTGAAGAATGAAGAAACAAAGTTTGGAGCAGGAGAAACAGATTTCATCACATGCAACTAAAAGTTTTACGGGAAGATTCTCAGGACTTGCTGAAAGTTCCAAAGATACCAAAAAGAGACACAATGCAATGATGTCTTGAGAGCAGCTTCTGACTATGAAAATACACAGGAATCATATAATCATAGAATGGTTTGGGTTGGAAGGGACCTTCAAGATCATTTAGTCCCAACTCCCCTGTCGTGGTCATGGACACCTTCCACTAGACCAGGTTGCTCAAAGCTCCAACCAGCCTGGCCTTGAACATTTATAAGGATGGGAGATCCACAACCTCTCTGGGAAACCTGTTCCCATGCCTCATCACCCTCACAGTAAAGAATTTATTCCTAATATCCAGTCTAATTCTGCCTTCTTTCAGTTTGAGGCCATCCCTCCTTGTCCTATCGCCCTTGTAAAAAGTCTCTTTCTTGTGGGTACTGGAAAGTCCTGAAGGGTGTCCCTGGAATCTTCTCCAGGCTGAACAACCCCAACTGTCTCAGCCTGTCTTAATAGGGAGGTGCTACAGCCCTCTGAAAGATAAGGGAATGACAGCCAATAAATCCAGAGAAAAGTTGGGCAACATGTTCATGGAGAACTAGTTAAGGGAGTCAAGAGAGCTCAACAAGAGAGCCGTGTAGTTCAGATTACAATTCACCTCAGTGCACAGCAGCGTCTTCGATTTATGCAGATAGAAGGCATCTTGACACTGTTTGACCCATTCTCCAGTGGCTATTCTTTGAACCGGGGTTATAGACACTGCACTGACAGACAGTGATGTGAGATCAATTCCTTCAGTCTCCCACGGTACAGCAGCATTTTGCAACAGCCTTCCTGCTTTACAAAACCAGATGACTGAGATCTGATTTGGAACTGATAGTTTCTAACTATATCTCAGATATATATAAACAGTCTATATATGCAGATATAGCTTACCAGTTCTGCTGACCTAGCCTGACCCAGCTCTAAATGAAACCAAATTAAGGCCTTGAAAAAGATTAGGATCAAACCTCAAGAGGTCAGGCCTGAGGATACTAAACATGAGTTCTTATCTTAGATTGCCCAACTCTATATGTAAGAGTCATGCTTTTGAATTAAGGTACTATAAGGTACAGACCTAAATCTGGGATATAAATCTGAAATTCAGTGTAAATACCTCAGGTGCCTGAGAAACTGTGGCCTTTTATTTGTTCACAATAAATAGATAGGCAACAAGAATTTTTCCACTGTAGCTGTTAAATGGAAGATTGATGTTTTTGTCTCTTGTTTAAGCCTGCTCGATGTAAAAACAAAACTGAAGTTGGTACATTGTGACCTCCTAGATTGGTCAATCCAGTATCTGTCCTAAGATGTTGGCAGTATGCTGATAGGATCAAGTACTGTAGAACATATAGACAAGATTAGAGGAATTGGAACAAAAAACCATAATACTCTTCTGTCTGTGAACTTCTATCAGAACTAGGACACCTGGGTTGGATTCCCCCTTCATTCAAGACGAGATCCAAGACCAAATGGTTTTCTCTTTAGGGGTTCCCTTATTGCCAAGATAAGTGAAGTTTGAAATGAGCTTTTGCCTTCCCTCTTCCTCATGTACAGTCTTAAATCAAGACTTGAACTAGAAGGAAAATTTATGTAAAGCAGACAATGCAGGTGTTTAAATGAACAACAGTTTGAAATGTGTTTTTCCTCCTCTCACAAGAATAACCCAGCAAAAAACTGATAGAAATAAGAGTAGTTCAGCAGTCTACTGTAGTATGATCTATGGCCCTTATGAGCATATAAAAAGTTCATTGCAGGAAATGAATGAAACTCCCAGGCCTCTCAGATGGAGCAGATGAATCACTGCAAGGTTAGCAATTTAACATAATGGTTTTGTAGAGGATAATTAGAGTAGAAATATGGCATTAATTTATCTCACTTAGAGTAATTTACCCAACTCAATATTTCAAAGAATGAAAACTATTGCAAAGATTTTTAAATTCAGTGATGTGTCTGCCCTGTCAGCGAAAAAGTACAAATGGATCAAATGTTTATCCTCAGGGAGATAGATGTAAGCTGAGATAAAATTCTGAAACTCCCATACAGAGTAGATTTCCTTCTGTTGAAATGTGATTCCCTTCTTTAACACACAGACTAAGACAAGCTACCTGGGAAACTCCCTGAAGAACTTTAGTAAGATATGTTTTATGATGATTTAAATAATGTTTTCTTTCACCAAATTTTCAGAAATTGCCAAAAGACTCAGCTCAAAGAAATATTCTCACATCTACTTAAGCAAATACAAAATTTCATCCTTGTTCAACAGAAATCTGAAGCATTCACTGAAAAACTCTTACATGTGAATTATAATTAGTTGTTTCATAGAAATTATTTCCATGCTACTTTACTTCATCGATATCTTCCAGAGGTATAACATGTGATCATGCAGTTATCTGAAAGACTCTCTGAATCCAAATCTTGTCTTACTTTCTGCTAGTTGGTTCATTTGCTCATACCTTGAATTGCTTTTAGAACTGGAACTGAGGAAATTTGAACTTCCAGATTATTTTCTCATTCAATATGTTTAAGCATATTGAAACCTTCTCACTCAAAACTCCTATCCTGTTATTTTAGGGTTGCTCATCTGTTGACAGGCATGCTTTTTAAAAGCTGAAACATATTTTTTGAAGCAGAGTATCAGAATTTGAAAAACCAAGACCAAAATTTGCCTTCTTAAGCCTTGTCAGTGATCTTCAACTCCTGGCAGAACATAAGGACTGCCATAAAACACTCATAGGGCTCCAAAATTTCTCTCGCAAAAGGGAGAGTGGTAAATATCCTTTCCCTAAATATCTTCCCTGGTTCCAGCAATCAACCTTTAAGGGCATCGTTGAGGCCAAGGCCACACTTTTGTTTATAAACCTCTGCTGATCTTTTCTGGTAGGAATTTATCTAATCTTCCTTTCAACCTATTTGCATTTACAGCCTCTTTAACATTTAGAGCCATAAAGATCCACAGACAAAAGACTACTGGCAAGATAGGAAACCAGGCAATGTGACTGTGTGACTCCTTCCCCCCTAATTCCAATGGCACCAGACACACAGAAGCACCAGAATTAACAGAGATGAACCTGTCCAGTTATAAAAAAATGTATTTTGATTGATATAGCAGCAGAAATCGTTTTGGAAATCAGATTAATCAGATCCATAAATCTTCTTGTACATATTGAGGAAAAAAATTAACAAACAAACAAATAAACTAACAAGCAAAAACAGCTACCAGAAGTGAAGAATTTTGAATGTGTATTGGAAGAACTTTAAAAAAGCAGGCAAACTTACTAGTATCAGAGCAACATAGCACATAAGGAACAGCAGAAGATCAGGGTGTTTTCTCTAGCTGAGAATTACAAAACACATGGGACGCCACTGCTATAGAGTATAGTTGTCTGCCTGCACCTAACCACCACTTTGGTGTTCTTAGACATAAACCCAGTAAATCAGGTCTTCCAGAGATGATTCCAGAAATCTTGCTGCAATACTGTATCACAATAAATGTCTTATTTCTTAATACAAATATTTTTAAAGTTACTCTATGGTCAGTGGTAAGTTAAGGTTCATCTGAGTGTTGGAAACCATCTGAGAATTATGTTCATCTGGGCATTTCCATTTTAGCACTTGCTCTGTCAAAGACCAAATGGGACCAGAGACTTGTTTATAAGTGGCAGTCCTGTTCTAGAAAACTGACCTCAATCCTTGCACACACTTTTGTCACTATTAAATAGTAGACAAAAGTGCCAGTTGATGGGTTTGACTCTGAAATGAAAACACAGGGCTTTCATCTATGTCACATTTTCATCACCTTGATAGGAAACTGTTGCTTTGGTGAGCCCCAGAGAAAAGAACAAGTGAAAACAGATCTACCAGATCACCTCCTTGCTTCTTAATAGCACAAGATTGCCTTCCCTCAGCTAGGTAATACACTTTATCAGCAACAAAGAGTACGATTTTCTTACATAGCATGTATGAAACAAAATCAAAAGAATTGCTGATACCCAAGGTGGTTACCAGCCACATAGAAAAGAGGCACTGTTATAAGTCTGGATACTGTTTCACCAGGACACACCGTGACAAATTTTTGTAACTCAAAGTTCCCATTTATCTCAGTGGTCATTCTATTTGAAAAGACAATAACATAATAACAGTAGATGCTGCTGTCTCACTTGAAAACATGTAGCTGCAGATAATGTGACACAAAAGTCGTTAATATTGCAAAAAAGTATTACCAAACACTTTTAGGGAACAAGCAGATTTTATTACTTTATTGCACATCAAGCTTAGGAATGCTATCTTGCTGTCTCCCCAAGAGTGCCTAAAGATATATAAAGATATATTTCTGTATTTACCTGGAAGAAGGAAGTAAGCTTTGGATAGCCGTGATAAATACAAGAACAATAAATGCACACACCAAGTTTGATTTGAATACTTCATCCCGCATTTGAGAATACTAGAATAAAAAAAAAACAAACACAGAAGAGTAAATGAGCTGTTAATCCATGCAGCAGTTTCAAAAAGACTGATGTATATAGGAGATGCTGAGAAAAGTGCCACAAAGAGCTAATAAATCAATAAACCTGAATTTGTTTTTTAAAATTAAACGCAACAAATAAATTATTAATAAGCTGGTGAAATATTTTAACCAAGAGAGTGAAACTCTGTAATTTGCAAAACAAATTTTTCTACTTTAAAATTATTTGCTTTATAAAGCCTCAGGAAGATATTAGGAGCTTGTGCTGCTGAGCAGAATACTAAATACTTAATATTTATTCACTTAATAAAGTCCTTAATAACAAGTTTTTTTCACCTGAAGACAAACACTGAAGTCATCTGTGACTCTGCATGCATGATGGCACAGAGGTGTCTCCATGCTGGCTAAATTGAAGCCATTCTTTTTTTTTTTACTTCTCTTTTTTAAGAAAAGTACAGTTTGGACATTCTGTAGCTTTGGGATGTGGGTCATGATCTCTACATCCTAACTTATTCAGGGGCTGTGGAGAAACTTGGCAATATGGTCATTCTCCAAGGAGAAAATGAAGATAATATTATGTAAAAGACTACTTGAAATGCATTATTATTACAATTTATTGAAAAAGTATTTTGCTCCATCATATTAAACCACTGGAAATGCTGTTCCTTTTTATGGGAATTACCAAGAAAAGGAGTATCAGATACATCCACAAGCCACAAAACAGTTAAAGTGGAAATGTTAGCCAAGTCATCAGCTGGTACTTATCATTGCTAATTCAGTTAAACTCCTTAAAAGTTGTTTACAG